TATTCCGCCTTAATAAGCCCTACGATTAGCAAGTAGAGTATATTTAGGCGCGCTTAAAGCTCTATCCGCTCTATCTAAAGCTATCGTATTATAATAATCGGATATAGATCCCTACCGAACTATATTACTATACCGCCCGACTAGTATACGACCTAGACGCTACCCTTTAGGAGCGCGAGTACGACAACCCTATTACCTCCTTCCGCTATCCTAACGGTAGTTTAGAACTAGACTATTTAATCTTTCGCGTACCGGAACTTATCGAGAAGTAGGAACATCTAACGAACGAGTACGATATCCCTAACTATACCGATCCTACTATAGAACGCAACCTTATTCGTATATATACGCGTAGAGCCCTTAACGCTAACAGCCGCCTACTCGATTTCTTAACGTTAGATACGCTATTCGGAGGAATCTTCGCCCGGTTAGTAACGTTTTAGTACGTATACTTACGTTATACGCTAAAAGATATCGACGAGTAGCCTCCTACCGACTACCGCTTCTTTACGTAACTACCTACTATCCGATACTACGCTATTAGCCTAGCCGTCCGCTAATTCGTACGCAATTCGCAGAAATTGCTAGCGCTTCCCCTAATTTCGGTATATAACTAGGTAGAAGAAACGCTTCTCTTCGCTTATATCGTCGCAATTATAGGTAACAGACGCCCTACCCTATATACCCGCGCCTCTAACGGCTCCGACGTTACCTACCGCGTTCGAGGAGCCGACCGCGAGGTAAGCGCGAGAATAGGGTAGGATAAGGGTAGCGAGGCCGACCTTACTAACGCTCTACTCTATTAGTTCCTATTCGACCCGATTATAGGTCGATTAATAATACTCCGATTTCCGCTAGAAAACGCGTAAATAAGCGACCGGTACGTCTATATATTAATACATATAAAAGTAGCTAGCCTAATTAGCGCTAAGTAGCTCTAGCGTTACTAGGCGACTACGTTTAACGCTTAAGGGCTCCTATTGCCGCAACGCCGTTAGTTAGGCGAACTAGCCGTTACTTAGGACGTCGAGGATTACTACTAGCGCTACGTATACGTCTACGGCGTCTATTCCCTACGAGGAGAAGGTTATACCGCCGACCTCGTCGACCTAGATAAGATATACGACGATATAGTTACCTATAAATCGTATAGCTATCCTTAGGTCCTAGTAGGATATCGCGAGTATATAAGCTACGCTAAGGCTAAATAGAAGAAGATTCCTATACTTACCCTCGATAAGAAGATCGCTATCGACTAGAACGCTATTATCTAGCCGTTCTTTAGAGATAAGGACTATATAAGTAACCTATTTAAGGCCTATATAGATAAGATCGTAACTAACCCGCCTACGGGCTTTACGGTCCCTATAGGAATTATAAAGAACTAGCCGGAGAAGACGATAAATAAGAGACCGGTACCTAACGTCTTCGTGCCGGCGACTACGAAGGAAGACGTAGTTAATTCGCTTGCAGATCGTAATAAGAGCGCTCGTTAGTATAACGTCGACGAGACGTAGGATCCGGTATCCTCTTACCTCGTTCCTAATAACGACTATAAGCTAGATAAGGGCGACACTACGAACGCCGTTACTTTTAGTAAGATTCTGCCTTAGGCCGCCCTACCCCTATCGCGAAGCTAAAATAATAGGTCGCGACGCGGCCGCGTTAACAAATAGCTAGAAACGCGTATACGTCTACGTATAGGTAGCAACTATAGCACTACCCTCGAAACTACTACGTATATAGCTAAGGTTATAGGCCTATATAATAGCATCGCTAAGGAAATAGATCTATACGTCCTCCGTAAGAAGGCTACTATAGTACCGGCCGTTACCTAGCTAGAGTCCTCTACGGAGACTCCGGAGGCGAGGTATAAGCGTAAGCGTAACGCCCTTAATGCCTAGGCCGACGACGGTTCGCCTTCTATCCCTAAGCGCGGCAAGAAGCACCTATTAGTATAAGCATTAGTATACGATTAATAGGATATAGTATAGAAGGTACCTATTAGTACGAGCATTAGTATACGATTAATAGGATTTAGTATAGAAAGCACCTATTAGTATAAAGGATATAGTACTAAGGAGCATTAGGCGGCGTAGTATATACGAGGGCGTATAAGTCTTTCCTTTTAGGGGGGAGGTTGTTACAGTTTAGATATAGGTACTATCGACCCTGCTTTAGATACTATCGATCCTACCGTAGATTATAACGATTAATATATATAGTTTCCTCGCTAGGCAACTTAGACTAATTAATAATCTTTGCATACTAGAATCGTGTCCGTCTCCGCTCTATAGAGCGTATCCTAATAGATATATAAAAGGAAGGGGATATCTAAGTAGTAGCTGCCTACTATAGGTATATACTTCCTCTATAGCTAGATAGATATAATATAGGATAATATACTTTTAAAACTACGTTTCGAACTATAATAGAATATTTCTACTAATTCTTTTAACTAAATAAATTATATTTTGTTTATTATCTAATTAGTAGATAGTTAAATATATTTTTAAATATATAATTTTATATCTTTTTTTAAGAAATATATAACTAAATAAGAAATAAAATATACTAAAATAGTAAAACCCTTATATTCTAACTTACTAAGGACATTCTAACTTACTAAGGACCTAATAGTATACTAAAAATTATATAGTATAAATAGTATAATTTTAATAGATAATTTCTCTTTTTCTCTAGCTCTTTTTAAATCTTAGATATATCTACTAGATCTACTAGTAGCCGTTTATAGTACTTTTTACTAAATAATTTATATACTAGCCTAGTTTATTCTATATTGTTTTATTAAAATTTAAACTCTTATTCTAGAAGGTACTATTAGCCGCCCTTGGCACTTAAGCGTCTAAAGACTTTAGAGTAAAACCAAATCCTTAAGAAGCAAGGGTTATAGCGAATAGCAACTTGTTAGCTGTAGTATCGATCTGCCGGACCGCTAAGCGCTTATCTAGCCCAAGGCTAGGGACAACATCGACAGTACTTTGAGACCATGCGGCGGCTCGTTGCCCCAGTCGTGACCTGCTCACTCAAGACTCTTGAGACACCATGCAAGATCCAGCTCAAGCTTGGGTCTTTGCCGCACGCCGCAAGAAACATCGCGCCCTCTCACGATGGTAAGCCTTGGACGCGCGGGAGAAGATTCTATCGACGATGTCTTCCTCCAAGATGGTCTTAGACCCACGATCGCAGAGCATGCAGCACAATGTCAGGCTCTTTTCCACAAGTATATGTTCCTGCCGGAAATCGTGCCAGACCCGACAATCATGGACGATCAGCTAGCACGCTTCTCTCTATGGGCATCAAACATGGACGTTTTCGGACCGCTCAACATCTCGCTCGACTACCGACTTCGATTCAGTCCCACGGCCGCGGACATCATTCACGAGCTCCTCGATATCGTTTGTGACACCTTGGCTTCTTGTGAGTACCTATCGCCGGGCACTTCAAGTTCAAGAGTGCTTGAATTTCGAGGCTAATCGGCTACCCACAACAGTGAAATTGATCGACGAACGTCCAACACCAACCTTAAGCAGGAAGAGACAACGAACATCCATAGATAGCAATTTGGCGCTCGCAAGGAGGAAGTATGACGACGATAGTGACTCGGAAAGCGATATTGATGCAGCAGAAGAGAACATTTTGAAGATCATCGAGACAATTGACGGGACATTAACGCGGCTCTTTCGTCTCTCCAACGCCGTTCGGAAATCCGCGAAGGCCAACCGAGCCCGTAAAATTGAAAGATACAGAGACGATGAAGAGGCAAACAAGGCCATAGACGAACTGCGTCTCTACACCAAATGCTATATTGAATTCCGGTTCCCTGAGGCACCAGAGGCGCTCTGTTCAGCGTTGGTCGAAGCCAATGCACGGCGGTTGAGACTACTATATTACCAGCGCTCCCATAGAAGGCGAATTGATCTGAGTATTCAGAAACCGAAGATGGCCACAGCTATTCCCGAACTCCCCAACCCGACAGAGCCTTCGCCAGCAGTACGTTTTGCGCCAAGTGCGCTGCCAAAGCCTGCAACCACCAACAAGGTGTTGGCGGCACCGACAGCACCAGCAACGAATGCAACTACCGCTCGACAGACTGCTGTTGCCGCCTTCTACGCCAAGTCCACAACAGAGGTTCCTCGAGCGAAATCTGTCCTTGTGAACAACAAACTGGTCTTCCCACCCATACCTTCAACGCCACAATGCCCTTACTGCGGGGTCATTATTGAGTTCAAGAACACTTCAAGAACATTGCTGTGGCAGTTAGTCGACCACCTTTGTCCTACCAAGCGAACGTATGGCTAACACGTAGCAGAAATCACGTTATTGCAGACCTAGAGCCTTTCATCTGTGTCTTCTCACACTGTCTGGAAAAGGATAATCAGGGGCACGGGACCGGACCGCTCACATTTGAAACATCGAAGGCCTGGTGCAACCACATGCAGAGTGCACATGGACATACATGGGAGTGCAGGGCTCCTACCCACGATCCGATCGTCTTTGATCAGGATGTCCAGTATCAGGAGCACTCAATCAAGGAGCACGGCGTGCCTAAAGCGCACGCAGCAACCCTCAGCAACGCAGCACGGAGAGCCTTCCTCAACAAAGTGCAGGAATGTCCATTTGGCGACGACTTCCAAGCCTCGGGGAAGACGGAATCTTGCGCTGTCTTTTCGAGTGAAGCTCTCCAGGCGCACGTCGCCGGGCATATGAAGGAGATTGCTCTGCTTACTCTCCAAAAACTTCCCAGTGACGATGACGAAAACGTAGAGAATGTCGATAGCGACCAAGCCTTGGAAGATGATGGGCCGACTGGGCCTTATGGAGTCACGCGAGCATCTATGTACAGTGTACTGGAGAACGAAGAACTAGATTTCGAGGATGGCGATGGGAAAGCTACAGATGGCGGTGTGGGCCGTCGCGAGGAGGACATCACTGCACAAGTGACCGTACTGGACTTGGAAGACAAAGACAGCTTGGGTATGACTAGGCTCCACCACGCGGTACAATCTGGTGATTTGGGCTCGATTCAATCCTTGATTCAAAGCGGCATAAGTGTGAACTGCAGGGACGAACATGGCCAGACCGCCTTGCACTATGCTGCGCAAAGCGGCTTCATCGAATGCATAGAACTTCTGACGCGTCACGGTGCGGATTTGCGTTCTATTGACAATTCCGGGTTCTCGCCATTGCTCTGGGCTGTGATTGCCGGGCAAGAAAGCGCGACTAGGAAACTGTTCTTTACGGACGCAAGGGCCAGCTCGACCAGCGCCGACGGCAAATCTGCGCTTGCTTGGGCAGCCAGTCTGGGATCGTCCGCAATTGTCAGAATGCTCGTTGAACACCGCGCGAGCATGGGCGTTGACCCTCGGACTGCGCAGCAGACTCTGCCTCTGGAAGAAGCGGCCGCTTCTGGTAACCTCGACATCGTTGGATTGCTTCTTGACCGCGGCGAGGATGCGAACGGTCGTGATCGCGATGGCTGGTGTGCGATACATTGGGCAGCAGAAGAGGGCCATTGTGGGATTGTGGCTCTATTGCTAACGCGCGGGGCCAATCCTGATGCCCTCAGCTCTTATGGAACTTCACCCTTGCATTGTGCGGCAAATGGAGGACATGGGTTCATCGTGGACCTCCTGCTCAAGCATGGAGCCGACCCACTCAAGTCGACGTGCCATGGCTGGACCGCATTGCACCACGCAGCTTTCATGGGCCACTCTCACGTCATGAAGTGTCTTTTGGAAGATGCCCGCATACGATCCACTGCTTTTCAGCAAGACAATCACGGCTGGTCGATTCTTCATTTGGCTATCCACAGTCGAGATGTCCCCACCATCCGTATGCTGCTGGACAACGATTTCATTGCACAGCCGCAGACGCTGTTGGACGAAAGCGGTCTCACTGCAGAAGAATGGCTGGACCGTAGCCCGATGAGCAATTCTCAGAAAGCCATCAGCAACCTGGCATTCAGCAAGTCACGCTGTTGCAGGGCCGTCACAAACCTTCGCCAAGCTGTTGCCATAGGCAGTGTGCACATGATCAAGCTTTTGGTAAATTTGGGCCACAATATCAATGGCGTGGACTCGGGAAGAAGAACTGCGCTGTATTACGCTGCGAAAAAGCGCATGCTTTCTATCGTGGATCTGCTCCTTGACCTAGGTGCTGATCCTAATATCCTCCCCATCGGGCGACGGATCTGGGAAGACTTCGTTTCGGGTGACGTTTTGCAACGACTCAAGCAAGCAGGATACACGAGACGGGAGCCAGATCCTGAGGTGGATCACCAAATTCGCCAGATACTCAGAGTGCAGAGGCAGCGATCTGAGTCTGATCAACCAGACGGTTTCGCTCCGGAAGAATCTGCATCATCAGTGCCGGAGTCGCTTTTTCCCCGCCGGCCTGAACTACGGTCTTCATCTAGTCAAGCCTCATCAGCGCCGTCTGCAAGTGAAACGACACGCCCCACAGCGCCTTCTGATCAGCCGAATGATCATAAGCGCAAGAAAAAACCGGGCCGATCACCATGGTGGAAACGGATCGTAAACAGTAAATAGCGAGCCCAGTTCTGGTAGGCAAGAATGAAGCTCAACTTACACAGTGACTCCCACAAAGTAGTGGCGATAACCCATTGCAATGGAGGAAAGGAGGCTTCACATGTCTATACCGTGAATTTTCGAACATCCTAGGAATGAAAGCCTTCTCGATTAGTTGCGCCAAGCAGATGCAAAATGGCAAAGCAAAAGGTATGGTTACAAGCTAAGATATCCCTGGTAGATTTCTGTGCAAAATCTCAAGAACCAAGAATGCGATTCATCACATGCCCAACTTCTGGCACGGAATGCAGATGCTCTTCGACCCTTTGCCTCCATGTGCCTCGAGGTGCGATCAATCCATACTGCTTACCGATGATTAGGCATTCCACGAAAGTCCTGCAGACTTGCTTCTGTGGTAGCCCTGGAGTCTCTCGTGCTATCAACGCCGCTATCTCCTCTGGTACGGCTTCGCCGATCAGCCACTGGTCAGGGGTGGCATTCTCTTGACAGATGATCAAGCATGCTGCTGGTGGCACATTGAGAAAGCGGTCCTGTCCCCTCTCGTTGGCTTGCTGGGCGAAGTGAAGAATACTAGTCAGAAGAAGGCGTAATCTGGCAGAGTCGCGACTTCTGCTGATGATGAGTAGCTCGTTCGCGCACGCCCGGTTCGCATCGCTGGATAACTCTAGCTCATAGCTAGTACCGATGTATCCCTCGAAGAACTCTGCAACTACCCTGGAGAAATATTCAATTGGCCCAGGATGCTGTTTCTCGACCATGGCGAAGTAGCCCGTTATGAGTAAAGTCGTACGAAGGACGTTTTCTTCCCTGTCTCCACTACGGATGCAGCCATCGAAGTCGCTCAGAAACTCTCGGATGCCGAAGTGGAAGTATTCTAATTCATCCCTGTCACAGGCGATGGCAGCCCAGTCCGCGACTGCCGCAGCTGTGATTGCATCTCCTTCTCTCCATCTGTGTTGTATAGCTGTGAGTTTTGTATCCATGCCCGTGAAGACTGTGATGGCCAACAATGCCTGAAGATCTCTCGGGCCGACCTTCTGCAAGATTTGTGTTGACAGATCGCCCATGGCCTTCAGTCTCTTTGGGTTCCTGGCTTCGACCAATCCCAAGAAGAACACGTGATAAAGTTTGGCCCATTCTCGTAGTTCGTCCGTTTTGTTCTCATTGACGAGCTCCTGCAACACGGAAAGAGTATCCCAGCGGTTGGACACCACAAATTTGAGGTAGAAAGACATGAACTCGAGAAAGAAAGGCAAGCGTAGGGAAAGGCCTAGCCCGTTCATGACCATGGCGACAAATCGCGATGAACGCTTGAAGCGTGCTAGAAGCACTTGCTCCTGGAGTCCAAGTAACTCTGTCACTCGCTCGTCCACTGGATCCGAAGACACCTTCAGAGGAGGGACTCCCAGAACAGTTGGTACTTTGTCCACACGTGCTCCATGTTCCAGTAACTCTTGCGTGATCTCTCTCGAGTTAGCTAGAATGGCTCGCATCAACGGCGTGTCCGTGTCACCATACTCTGCTTTGGCCTCGAGATGGGCGCCATGCTCGAGCAGCACAGATACAACGTCCTTGTGCTGCCCAGTGACTGCGATGTGAAGTGCCGTCAACCTGCTTCGATCTTTGAAATTGACTCGTGCACCATAGTCAAGTAATAGTTGTACCATTTCCTGGTGGCCTTGGTTGACAGCCCAAGATAGTGGCGTGCGACCGTAATTGTCTCTTCGCGAAATCAGATGGGCATGCTTGTTAATCAGCAGCTTCGCCCAGGTCACGTTCCCAAGATATGCAGCAAGATGCAGGAGCGTGAATGATGGCGGGCTTCCGCCATTCTTCTCCTGCACCCAGTACACTTTCCACCATTCGTCCCGGATCGGAGATTCAACCTGGAAGAATGGGCGTGAAAACCCGAATGGCGCATCGATCACATGAATGGCGTGTTCGAAGTGCAGGGGCCAATACTGGCTGGCGTAAGATAAGAAGGGGTCGTGCTCAGCCATCTCGGGAATCTTCTCACGGTTTTCATACCCACGCTCAACGTGTGCTAAACAAGTCTGCAACAAAACCCAGTAGGTGTCTTGACTCACAGCGAACATATCAATCCCTTTAGTATGGATTTGCTCACTGTGGAAGAATTCTTTTGCCGATTCATGGATCAGGTTGACAACATCTCCTTCGATCTTAACAAGTAAGCCGCCGGCCTTGAGACGATTTCGGGTGACTTGCGTTGCTGAATGTATACCAGTTGGATGGATTCGTGCAGCCACGGTCAATTCTTCCAGTGTGAGAGGTCGAGCAGCGAGGACCACCCATTGGAGTATCGGCTTAAGAATCTCCTTGTCGGGGATTTGCTGTAGCAGCCGCTGGTAAATACCACCCAAACCTTTGGGGATATTGCGAAGAACCTCGTCTATCTTGGTCCAACTCCTGCCCTGAAGCTCGTTGGCAACGAAGCCAACCCAAAGAAAGGTACCATCAGCGCCATCCAATAGAGTCTGCTGGACCTGCGCGACCATATCTTCGGACAGGTCTTGCTCGGATGCCAGTTCGGCAACTTTGGCGAAGATGTATCTCTCAACGTCATGCGAAATTTCTGTGTCGGCGGCGTCCAGCTGAATCTGCTGATAATGACCGAGTTTGTTCTCCAGAACTGCTGGCTCTGGTCTCGAAAGTATAATCAGCTTAAGGCATGGCATTGCCTTTTCTCCAGTCTTGGACAAATGATTCCCTATGGCATCCAGCAGCTGCCTTAATGATTCCCTTTCGCACTCGTCCAGACCGTCAAGAACACAAACTATCTGCGAAGATGTGCTCTGCTGAAGTAAAGCAAGAAAGACTCTCCACAGCGAAACAAAGTTGGAAATGGTATATTTGGTAGTTTCCGTGCCTTCGAAGGAGCTCTTGACTTCTTTGGCCAGATGCGGATGAAAGTCAAGCCATTGATGTAAGATGCCTCTCATTACAGCCACTGCAGTGTTACGATTTTTATCACGACCACTACAGAAGTAGTAGAGAAGGACATTGTCGGCGGCTTGAACCACCGGCTGTAGCATTTCGGTGATGTAGATAGCCAGCATAGTCTTCCCCTTTCCAGGACCACCCGATATCCAAAGGAGTGGCTGATTCTCATCTGCTAGCCAGTTCTCATACTTCGGGTGCTGTGCGAGCCATTCGCAGGTGCCATCGACCCGGCGTCCTTTCAGTGCAATGAGAGACTTTCGATCAACCTCGGGTCTTGTTAGGAGCAAAGCGTCAAGGACAGGCGCCGCTTCAGAGTATGAGTTTGCGGTCAATGGAGTCGCCCGGAACACGGTCGGTATGAAAGAAAGGACCTCTTTGGCATACGCTGCTGCAGCTGCTGCAGCATAGGCGTGCCAGAGCTCGGACCTATGCGCATCTGCGTAGTCGCAGATGCCTCGAATGACCAAGTACCGACCGGCATTCCTCAGTCCAGCTGTATCCTTATCGATGCAAAGGATGTCACGCTTGTTCGCGACCCGGTCCTGAATCGCTCCCTGACGCGTCAAATGACCGCTGAAGGCGACAAGACCATAGTGAATAAGAGGATCCTGTACATCCCGGGGCTGTCGGTAACGGACCTTCTTCGCTCTGCAATGATTGCATCCGCCTTCCTCGCTTTCGGTGGTTGCATGTTCGTAATCCGGTTCAAAGAGCACGTCTTGTTCTGGGCCAGGATGAGCAAAGATGACGGGGTCTTTTTGCACAATTTCCGACATGTACTGGGACATTTTGCTCTCGTCGAAGATGGCGGCTGTTTCTGCCTTTCCCACGGCTGTGAGGAGCAATGGCGTTGGCTGATCTGATGCTCGGTCTTGCGTATACTGAGGTTGGGTTTGCTTCCCATTTACATCAAATTGCACGATGCCCGGACAGCCAGCTGTAGATTTGCTGACGACAACATCGCCAAGGCGAATGTCCTCCTTCGTGTCAGGTACTCCTCCCGCAATTCCAACCACGAGATTGAAGCGAATGGATGTGTATCTTGCGTGCAGCTGTCGGGCCACATCGCCCATCGATGTTTTACCACGTAGTCCAGATTTCGGGTACGCCACAACTACATTATGACCTTGAATACTTCCCACGATGTACTCATTGTTGTCGTCTGGATCTCGACCTGGAAGCACATTGGTATGGATGCTGTCGAGTGCTGCTCTGGCTGCGGCGACCTCTACAGGCAGGGCGCAGATCCATGCCACTGCATAGTCGTCACAAGACGCCATCTCTCCGGCTAAGACGCATCTCAAGCAATGGAACAATCCAGAAGTGTCGGTGCCGAGGCAGTGCGAGAAGCATGGAAGAAATGGTGTCAAGTTTCTTGAACATTGAACGTTGCTCGCGAGCCGCCGACACTGAGATCAGAGGCCGGGGCCTAGGTATTGCCAAAAACTATTCGAGGCACGGGATCCGTACATGAAGCCACAAACACACCTTTTGCCGCTCTTTTTCGTGGAAGCCATGGCCCCCGGTCCATCTTGTAGGGAACGATGCTGTCTCCGAGGGCTCAGGATCAAAAAGGCTAGGAGATGTCGCAAGTGGCGGAGAGTCACTTTCACAAGTCAACTGCAAGACAGGCATTGTTCGATCAGCTTTCTCCTCCAGCCTCTCAGTATACCTTGGGTCGTGATCGATTTACCTACAGTAGCTCGAGCCTACATCTCAGCTCCTCGACGTTCTGGCCGCCTTCTTCACCTGAAACGCAGATAACGTTGACCATGGCCAATCATGGTCCTGACACATGCAAAGGTGCACTGGGGATGGGGTGGGCGTCAAGCCGGAAGCACGTAGTTCCTTCCCCGCTGTTGCTGTGAACGCCAATCGTGCTCCCTGAGGCTGATTTCCCCGGCCCGATGCTGTAGGGTTGTTCCCGTGCCGTCGTGGCCCGCGGGGCGTCGAAGCAGAAGTCAAAAGTCAAAGCAGCGAGGCTGGCGCTTAGCATCTCACGCTCATTGGCAAGACACGCTCGATACAAAGGCGGCAGAGTGCATGTATGTATGATGTGAGAGCAGGCAGGTAGGCCTGCTTCCAAGGGCCGCGTCCTCCTTCGTTTTGCATATTCACAGCTCGACCTCCGCTCCGCACCTACCCTCATCACAATACAATACATGGAAACACTCGCGACAAATGGCGTCAGCTCCTCGTCTTCGAAATCCGCCCCCGCCAGACCCGCACAAAGGCACGGAAATGGAGTCTCCCAGCGATAATACACCCCTTGTTCGCAAGTCAGGACGTCCGGTTCTGCTCTCATTCGATGAGATGCCGGAATGGTTTCGAGTCGAGTCCAACAAATGGATTCTCCGTGGCTACCGGCCCATCTCAGGCTCGATTCAAGTCTCATTCAACAGTTGGACGTACCTCCACAACGAGTCAGCCAACATCTACTCTCACCTACTTCCTGCTGTCTTCTTTCTGCTTGGCGAATGGTATATCCAGCAGTATCTGACCAACAGATACTCACTTGTCACCGGAGCCGATTTCATTGCTTTCTCCATTTTCATGTTGGCAGCCGTGACGTGCCTGTCATTGTCGGCAACATATCATACGTTGTTGAACCACTCCCAGCACGTGGAGCATTTCTGCCTGCGACTGGACATGCTTGGTGTAGTCATCTTCATACTTGGCGACCTTATCTTGGGAATCTATGTGGTTTTCTGGTGTGAACCCGTGCCACGCAATATCTACTGGTCTATGGTGAGTTGACTACAATCTCAGTTCTATCCTCTCCAATGTCTAACATTTTCTTCTCTCGGGCGATAGATTGCGCTTTTCGGATCGTTGACTATCTTCATGACCATGCACCCGAAGTTCCAAGGCGCCAAGTATCGCTTTTTCCGAGCGATGATGTTCGTGGCGACTGGCTTATGTGGTGTTGCACCTCTGATACATGGGATAAATGTATTCGGCATGACACAGATGATGAGAAAGGCTTTTCCCTATACCATGGCCAAAGCAGGTTGCCTTCTGTCCGGAACTGGTTTTTACGCAGTAAGTATTTCTATCTTGCGTACGTAGGCGAGGAAATCACTCTAACGTATGTAACTCCAGACCAGGTTTCCTGAAAGCTCATACCCAGGCAAATTCGACTTATGGGGTTCTCACACGATTTTCCATGTGCTGGTGGTATGCGCCGCTGTGGTCCAGTTGATGGGATATTTGGATGCCTACGAATATGCTCAGACAACTCTTACTTGCTCATCTTCATAGACTATGTATATACAAGCTGAGAATGGAGTTCGCGGCCTCCAGATAGAGCTTCACAATGCTAGATATACTCTCACAAAGAGATCCCGCACTCACAGCGGAAATGGTGATCCAGATGTGTCTCCTGTAGCGTAGTCTGACTTTGTATAGGACACTCTCATCGACAGGCTGTTGAATGCCCTAGAATAGGTAGATGCTCTTCCTGCGTGCGATGATGTCCGGAAAGAGTTTTTTATCGGGTAGAATCCGCTCAAGCTGTTCGAGAATTTGTCAAGTGGGCCGCCAAGAAATCGCGAATCTTGGCAAAAATTTCTAAAATCGGCCTTGCTTCAACGGATACAATCCACTTACATGCCGCAATATAGGGGTTTTTTGAAGCCAAAAGACATATATCTAGACATTAATAGGCTGCTGGATGCTTAAATAACCAGTTCTAATGAGCTGTATATTAGTTATATTCAAGGAGAGACTGAAGATAGGTTCCCAGGCGTAGCCAGAAATTTTCGAAAAGATAGCACTGTATGCAGACGACAATATCTCAAGCAAAAGATAGAATTTGGCAAAAAGGAAAGCTGTCAACGTATTGACATCCGACGTGGGACTGTTCTCCGTCAGAATTTGGCGCAGAGGAACGGGATAACACGAAGATTTCTTACCTCGAACCCACACTGCTACAACAGTTAGCAATCTCGATGCGTCTACGGGAAGTATGGATGCGGAAATGCACGTACACCTCCAGATTTCAGCGTAGAAGTCTGGCGCGCTACCATTGCGCCAGCCGGACGGAAATCGACGTATGCGAACCTCTCGAACGGTATTGGTCGTATGCGGACCTTCCAGACAATATATAAGTGTGAAAACGGAAGTTGCCGAAAGGTCTTGGTAACTAGAACCACCCCGAACTACCCTATAACGCGTAAGCTCAGTCACATGATAGCACGTGACTTCTTGGCAGGAGAAGGATTTTCACACTGTATTTTAGACTATAGAATAGCAAGAATATAGGCGATTAACGAAGCTATATTAAATCGCTAGTAAGGCAGTATTACGTAAGTAATCTACTACGCTATACGTAATAGTTATAAGCCTAGGATTTAATACGTAGTACGTAATAAGTCTATCGAATACCTAGTAACTACTATAGACGTACGCTATTATTTAGAGATTACCGATAATAATAATATAATAATACTAAATTATTACTAATACTACGTATTATTCTTACGCGTCTAAAAGACAAGCTTACTCTAAATATATAATAGTAAAGAACTATAGTTAGTAAGGAACGAGCTCGACTAATAGGGTTACGATAAGTTAAGGACCTAGAATAGTAGTATAAGGAATAGCTTAATCTATATAAGAAGATAAGACGTATATAATACTTAGAACTAGACAACCTAGTAGTCTATCTCTATATAGCAGTTACGAATATAGATAAAACCTATAGAAAGGGACTCTATATAATATATTAGGCCCTACCTAATACTAATTACTTCCTCTAACTAATTAGTATAGTATAAGACTATATCTATAATATACTAGGTGCTTCTACTAAGAAGGGGTTATTATTTAGTATTATCTACGAAGAAATAAGTAAAGCTAGTACTAATACTGCCTTATAAGCCGCTAGTAAAAATAATAGTAAAAAGCCTAATAAGAATAAGGGCCGGGGTAATAGTAGAAACCGTATACTAAAGACATATACTAAGCTTACTTATATAGGTAAGAAGAAGGCATATAAGAATAGGGGCAAGTATACCGTAGTAAACTACCGCCTACGTAAATAGGTTAAAGAGAAGGATAAGGACCTACTAGCTATTAAGATTACTTAGGAGCACTATAGACTAGATAGTAGCAATAGCGAGGATTCTATACTAGATAAGCTCTCCCTTACCTACTTCTTCTACTCTAGTACGCTATTATTATTTGCTAGAGCAATCGGACCTACTACCTACCTTAGTATAGTAGCATTAACAGAGTGGAATCCATTTAATAGCCTAACACATAATAGCAGCTTAAATTGCAATATTATCAACTATCTAGGTCGCTTTAATTTTATACCACTTCTATTACTAGTATCTTTAACCGTAGCAACTAGCAATAGTTATAACAAGGTCGTAGCTATCGGAATAGCATCCTTTACTGTTATAGCCATTAGTAGCAAGCCCCTACAGATCAAACTAAGGGAATGCCTTTATATTCCTAACTTTTATACTAATATTATAGGAGGTGCCCTCTTCTTCTAACGAGGATTTAAATACTAAGAAATCGATAACACCCTCTATAGCCTATAACACAAGCTACTAGTTAAGTTTATTAGACTAAACTACGGAATACCCCTTTTCGATATTATTAGCAAAGTAGATAGGGTACTACTAGCTAAATAGCTAGTCGATATAGACAACAAGCCGCTTAAGTACCTATTCTAACTGAGACTAACTCTCCCTATCGTTATATATAATAGCTCGTCGCTCCGTACGTCTACTACTACTAAGAAAGCTTATACTAAAGCAAATATATAAGGTGTTTAGACATCTCGGTACTAAGAGAGTAGAAGAGCTAGTTAATAGGGTTAATAGAATAAAAAGAGATTATATATATAATAATAAGGTACTAAGAACACTACTATGCCCTATATATATAAGCAAAGGGCAAGAAGCTTATTTCTAGGAGGCTAAGACACTATAATATATCGATATTAACTCTATATAGATATATTGCAGCCGATTTAATACAACTAGATACGGCCTATAATAGCGACTAGTACATCTTCTACGTATACAACCTAAATACTAGACTTTACTTTATATAGACAATTAGTAATCGCTAGGAATTTACTCTCTTTTAGTGCTAGAACTACTAGTTAGCTACCTTCGTACGCAGCATTAGTAGAGATATTATCTGTTTGTTATTTAATAATAAAGGGGGCATATTAGGCTTTTAGTTTCAATCCCATCTACGCAATAACTATACTATATAGAGGCTAACAGCCCCACATATATTAGAATAGGACCTAGCTAAGAGAGCAAGCCGTACTATTATTAAGGTAGCTCGAGCCTTAATAATATATACTAGATTTCTATACAACCTATAGCTAGAAGCAGTTTATATAGCAACCTTCCTTACTAATAGATTACCAAGGTTACGAATAGCTAACCCACTAATGCGTACACTATACGAGATTAGCACTAGATATAAGCCTAATATAGCTTATATCTACTAGTTTAGAGCAAGGGTATATCTAGTAATCTACGGCATAGAGACAACTAATAGCAAAAGGAAGGCTATACTACTAAACACTATAAAAGTGGCCTTACGCGCCTACATTAGATACCTATATAGATATAAAAGACACTCTACTAGTATCTATAGGATATAGGTGCCCTTACGAATAACCGTACTACGTATAAGAGACGTTGTATTTAACGAAACTAAGTTCTATAATAGATATAATAATAACCTAGGTGTTATTATAACTAACTAAGAGCTTATAGAGGAATATAGTAATCTTAAAGAGCTACAAGTACCCGCCTCGGAGCATTAATTTAACGAGCTTCGAGAAGCATATAATATACCTCTAGACCTTATTAGGTTTAGAGCTAACTTTAAGCTAAGGGGGTAGATACTCTAATAGGGCCTAGTCGACTTATAATAGTAGTTAACCGGCTAGCAGATAAGACTAATAGACGAGAACTACCTTAAGAACTACTACCGGCACTACCAATTGAGCTATAGCTTATATAGGTGCCTTAACTATAGAAACAGGACTTTCTAATTAACCTACGCGAAGTACTAGAACCGCGTAATAATATACTAGATAGATTAGTAGAACTAACTATTAATTAGCAACCTTAACCGGAGAACGATCCTAGTAATAAAGCCCCTACTAACAATATAGACGTATTACGTTATATAGATAATATAGACTTTAACTTGCTACGCGCTAAGCTAGCTAAATTGCTAATGCTAATTAAAGCAGCTAATTTATCTTATCGTTACTTACCGAATACATTATTATATAGGAGGCCCGTATTATTAAGTTAACAACCCGTATAAACGATAGCGAGTAGCGGCTATCTACCGAGCCGGCCGTTACTATATTAGCAATTAAGAACAAGCGAGGCACCTCCTATCGTTTAATAGCCTATATATAGCCGCTAAGTATAAAGCACAACAAGCCGCACTACTAAACACTACTATTAATATATAACAAACTAGTATTAATAATCTACCGCTGCTAACTCTTCCGTAAGACAAGTACGATCTAACCCTTATACTAAAGATATTAGACCTTCTAGTAGAGCTACGCAACTAGCGCTAAGTGTTAAAGAGTTAGTTTAGAGAGCAATAGATGCATACTACAAGAGTTAGATTTAATAAGGCACTAAAGACAGGTATATTTAAATAGGTAGACATTAAGAAGATACTAGACAAACTAAGTCTCCTACCGCTTATCTAGGTATTTAAATACAAGGGAGATGTAGAAGGAAGGTTAGTAAAGTTTAAGGCAAGAGTATATATAAGAGGAGACCTATAGAAGAGCACGTACCTAGATATATATGCTTCTATACTAGTAGCAAGGGTATTCCGAGCCTTAATAGCAATTACCGCTACCTTCGACCTAGAAGCTAAACAAATAGACGCTATTAATGCCTTTCTAAATGCTAGCCTACCCTATATACTATACTTAAAGCTACTAGAAGATTTTAAATAGAAAGGAAAGGTATTGCAGTTGCTATAGGCACTATGTAGTCTTTAGGAATTACTAAGGTTATAGTAGAATTACTTTACTACTACCCTTAAAAAACAAGCTCGGTATATAACTAGTAGATAATATAGACTGCCTATATACCGACCTAGACAAGCAGGTATTTATCTTCTTCTATATAGACGATATAGTGCTATTATATTATCGTTAATATAAATAAAAAGCAATAGACCTTAAGTAGAAGCTAATAAAGGAATATAAGCTTAATAACCTAGGCAAGCTCTCTTAGTTCCTTAGGATTGAAGTTATTCGAGAGTCGAGACCGGACTACTAAGCAGCTCTAGTTGTTATAGAAAACATATACTAAGA